TTTTCAAGAAAGGCGCTCGCACTTCATGTGTAAATCATCGCGGGATCAGTCTTACTTCTGTTGTCTCCAAGCTATTGGCATCCATTCTTCTTAGCGAACTATCCCCAGTACGTGAATCACACTACCGTGAAGAACAAGCTGTTTTCCGTGGACCAAATCTTCGTGCATCAAATCTCCACACTCCGCCAGCTCCTCGAACATCGCCACATTTAGCACAGGCCCACTATCCTTGCATTCCTAGATATACGCGCCGCTTTTGACTCCCTTGATCGACCTGCTTTATGGCATTGCTTGCTAAAGAACCGAGTGCCAGAGAAATATACCGCCATCTTACGAGCACTTTACCTTCATACATCCGGCAGAGCGAGAGTCTATGACAAGCTTTCCTCGCAATTCGCTGTCAATAGCGGTGTGCGACAGGGATGACCTATGTCTTCATTCCTCTTCAACTTCGCACTTGATGTTCTGTCAAATGCTCTAGAAGGTTTCCAACATTTTGGCCTAGAGCTTTTACCGGTTGAGCGCGTGACCGACTTAGATTATGCTGATGATATCACCTTACTTGGTGACGATCCTCACAGTATGAAACTCATCCTGGATCGTTTCGATAAGCTTCGCCCCATCGAAGTGTAAAGTATTGCTCAAGGATTGGCTTTCACCTGCTCCCGTGCTCACTCTCGATGGTGCACAACTTGAACAGGTAGATAGTGTCGTCTATCTTGGGAGCTGTGTTTCTGCTGGCGGCACTATCTGCAAAGAAGTTTCTTCGCATCGCTAAAGCTCGATCAGCATTTGTCCATCTGAGGCACTTGTGGCGTCGTCGCGACCTCTCATTCTCGCTAAAGGGCCGCGTTTACAGCGAATCAGTTTGCTCAGTATTGTTGTATGGGAGGGAGTTCTGGCCGATTCGCGTGGACGACATGCGTCGTCTTACTGCCTTCGGTAACGGTTGCTTAAGGAGGATTGCTCATGTTTGGTGGCAACACCGAGTTAATAGTAATGACATTCGAGGTCGCATCTTGGGGAATGCGAGTATTCCCTTCAACAAACTGGTTTTATTGCTTCAGTTGATATGGCTCGGCCAGCTCCTACGCATGGCACCTGAGCATCTACCGCGTCGGGCTCTATTCGCTCGTCAAGGACCTGGCTGGAGGCGACCGCGTGGTGGTCAGCCTTCTACATGGCGGCAGCACATGAAATCGCTGTCGGCGTGTCTAGCCGCTGTTAGATCCGTACGTCTTCCAGTATGGGGACCCAAAGATGAGGAGTGCCAATGGTTTAACACTCTTAAAGCCATGGCCCGCAACCGGAATCAGTGGAAGAATTGTGTACAGTATTGTATTGACTAACATGTTTAATACTTCAAACACTGAAAATGACAAAAAATAGAAAAATTGGCGTATGAAAAACAAACTAAACATGTTTTGTTCTACTTTTCGTCAAAGTCTTTTCTGCGGCATGTTAGCTGAAACGTGTTGCTCACCTTCAACTACTAGGCCACGATGATTATGACTCGATGACTCTTCCTTATCCACTGATCTCCATGATTTTCTGTTGTCTCTTTGTCTAGTTGTTTTACTGCTGAGATCACACACACAATCACCTAGGCAAGGTGTATTCACTCCACCAGTTTTCGATTCGACACCAGGTTTGATCGGTTTGACCGGAGATGGCACCTCATGTGTTTTCGCCAAAGGAGCATGGATAATCAGGGTTGGAGTTTTATAGTTTACCCCCAACACCCTCATGATTTCATTCCTCCCAGGCTTTGGGAGGGTCTTACAGATTTTTCTAGCCCTCTTCCTCCTGCTTTTAGTGGGCACAGGAGCCATAGACATCAACAATACGCCTGTACACGGTACCGACGCTTTGATGCCGCGCGGTCATCACCTGTTGCACGTGAACTAAGCATACTGCGCGGGTCGTCCGGTCCCTACGCTAGCTCAAACCCGCACGCTCGGGTTACAAGCAAGAATGTGATCCTTAGGGCTAGTGGCCATAAGTTCGGCCTTGCTTTGGACGGCGTCCAATACACCATCAAGAGCCTCTTTAAGAGCATTCCGGGTAGCTGGAGCATTCGACACGGTAGTCATTACTTCAGACCGGTTTCTACGGACATCAGATGAAATTGGCTGAGTGGCTCCCTTCACTGCGGCGACATCGATAGGGACTTCAACTTTCTTCACCAGTAAACCTACCTTACGGCTAAGTAAAGTGAGGAATGGCCACATTTGCTGGTTACCCAGTTCTACGTTGCTTAATGCCCCATCTGTCATACCAAGACACCCAGGCCGATGACCACAGCATTCAGCACTACTGAACAGCAAGCTATCGCTAGCCAACAGCCTCGCGTATTAGTCAGAGCTCAAGCTGGTACAAGTCTCATAGTACCAGCAGTTGCTCGGGCAGAGTGAGGGCTTACGGCAAGTTGTCGTCGCCCTTTAATATCTCCAGCGGCGTGAGACAAGAATGCCTGCTGTCACCTTTGCTCTTCAACTTCGCTGTTGACGAAGTCATGGAAATCGCGTTTACAGGACACGACTTAGAAGGTGTGGAGCTACTCCCAGAAGAACGACTTCTTGATTTAGAGTGTGCTGATGATATTGCCCTGATCTGTGACAGCTCACAAACGTGCCAAGCGGCTCTGGACAGATTAGCACTAGCTGTCCGTCACTTCGGCCTTTGCTTCGCACCCTCGAAGTGCAAATCGTTCCTCCAAGATTGGTCTGGACCGCCTCCTACGCTGACCCTTGGTGGGGATCAGCTAGAAGTCGTTCAAAAATTCAACTACCTGAGAAGTTGTATCAGCGCCCGTGGGATTGAAGATGGGATCACGAATCGTATAGCAACAGCTCGGGGCGCTTTTGCTAACCTTCGCCACTTATGGCGGCGGCGCGACATCACTCTCACCTTGAAGGGTAGAGTGTACAATGCAGCAGTACGTTCGACCCTACTGTACGGTTGTGAAACCTGGCCGCTTAAAGCAGCGGACCTGAAGAGGCTAGTTACGTTCGACCACTGGTGCCTTCGTAATTTAGCTCACATTTGGTGGGAACACCGCGTGAGCAACGAGCGTGTTCGACGCCTTGTTTATGACACAGGAAAAGAAAATGAACCGCTCAGCACCGTTATTTCACGCATCAGGCTCCGATGGCTCGGCCACGTGTTACGCATGCCAGCCCACCGACTTCCGCGACGTGTGTTGTTTGCGCGCCGGGGTTGTGGATGGAAAAAGAGGAGACGTGGCCAAGCGATGACTTGGTCCAGAGGAATGAAGTCCCTGACTTCGAAGCTGGCCTCGGTTGGAGCGTCTCGGCTCCCTGGTTGGGGTCCGAAAGACGATGAACACGTTTGGTTGGACACACTTGCTGATATGGCTAAGAGCCGACCTCAGTGGCTTTCGTGCTGTGAGTTTCTTTGTCCCACCCCATCCCTCTTAGCCTCCCCCTCCAACCACGATCTCATTATTTAGCCTTATATAATTTTGCATAATAATTTTTTTGGGTGCACAGCAGCCGGCTGGTAGCTTACCGGAACGATGCCCATCCGTTACCGGTAGCTCAGCCAGCTTGCACCAGTTGCTTTTTTCTCCTTTTTTCTATGTTTTGCGGCACAGTAGCTGAGGTGTTCTCCACCTCTAGCTAACGTGTATGATGATGACCAGCAGTTGCACGCATAGCACTGCATGCTGCCAGACTCATCCGTCTCGGGCTTTGAGCAGCTTGTGCTGCCACAGACAGCATTAGACTCCGCAGTTCAATGCAGCTGAAGACAAAATGTCGCTAGTATTCCGTGAATCCGATATGACAACAAGAAGCAAAGATGTGAAACCGGCGAGCTCTTATCTGTTGGGCAGTCAGCAGAAAAATAACGGATTAAGACGAGGTGCGAAACGGATTACGAAACACAAAAGTACCAGAGAAATGAAGAAGAAAAGGAAGGCCTCGATGGTACGCAGTACCGACGCTTCGCTGCCGCACAACCACCACCAGCCGCACGTGGGTTATGGATACTGTGATACAGACTCGAACCCGCGCCCTCTGATTACAAGGCAGGCTTGTGATCCTTAAGGCTACGAGTCACCAGTGGCTAGACGCGAAATAGATGGACGACGTTTGCTAAGTACCCGAGGACGATTACGACGTAGCTCGGGAAAAGTATTTTGATCAAGCGGAATTTGACAAAAGTCAGATTTCGTTGCACGACTCATAAACGTCGTGCCGGTTACGTGAACTAGACAAGGGATAGGAAGAGAAATCAAAGATTAAGAATAAGGAAGGTCCTCCCATAAATATGATAATTCAAATGCGTGATGGGAAGTACAGAAAAAAAGCGAAGTACGAAGATGGGAAATCGTTAAGTAACTGACATAGCATCTGCTAGTGCAGGAAACGTGGACAGTAGTTGGTTAACTAGGGTGTGATTCCGTTACTTCGTTTTAGATCCGTCGACTTCAGATCACCTTATATACTCCTGGCTGAACGACCAGCTCGAGAAGAAACACTCATAGCCGGCAGGTGGCCGAAATGCTCACACGCCTGCTTTGTAGTCCGAAGGTCACCGGTTCAAGCCTGTGTAGGGGACCGGACGACCCTCGCAGTACATTTAGTCCACGCGCGGCTGGTGGTGCTTGCGTAGCAACAAGGCATCGATACAGCGTACCGGCATACTACTGATTCTTTTCCCTTTTTTACTCATAATGTTTTACTATCGCTCCAGTCCTATCTGAACATAAACTTAGAAGCACTTCAGATCCAGGGGGTTTGGATGAAGCAAAATCCATGACCCCGACTGAGAGTATCTGTGTAATAAGTTCCTGCACACGCATTTCCTGAATTTCACGGCAGGTCCGTGACATGTTATCTAAGCACCTTTTTAACCCTCATGCATTACCTACTGCTTCCTGGTGCTTGCAGTTTCCAATGTTCTGTGGTAATTTACTCGCTCCCCATGTTTTCAGGCACTTTTTCTACCATTGCTGATTACATATGGACACACCCATGTGCTTCTGCTCACCCGGTTGTTTTGATGATGATGTTTTTGATTATTGCCCATGCAGTCGGGTGGGTCTTTCCGGTTTCACAGAATCTATGGACGACAAGCAGCAAAGTCATAAATGGTAAGTTTCAACTATTCAACTGAGCCGCTTTGGAGTACTTATCTGTAGCCTACTGCTATTATACTGCAAACATCATTTTGTTGATCAGTTCGTAGAATTCTGTATGTACAGCTTACGTAAGCGTCATTGTACAATGACCCACTCAGTAAGAAGCATCCCCGAGTATCTACTATTGTTTAAGTACCAGGTCAGGTCATGTTCCAAGACGCTCGTTAGGCGGAAGCCTTTTTCGTCTTTGGAATCTGATCTGACGTTAGAATTGGGCATTGCTCGTTTCTCGTGCACACTACTCCCTGAGTATGTCGTTGAGCCTCTGTATTAATAGGAGTTATCTTTGCAATTTTGTAGAGCAGATCGGTATCCGCTAATCGCACCATAGTTAACCCCTGACGACCAAATAATCTGCGCTAGCTTTCCTTACTTCGCCGAACACGTGCATGTGGAATTAACGTCCGGTTTTGACCGGAAAGTGATGGTTGATTATGACTCCGTACATATGTGCACACGCATAAAATATTATTTTCGAATTTTATGTCTAAATTTACACGTGCTCGCATTTTTATAATTGACTGCCAGTTGGTTTTTGGCAAGAAGCCTTGTAGTGCCTCTCTGGAGTGTTTGCTGGATCTTAAACTCTCACAGTGACTACGCCATGTCTTACGTATTCCCGTTGACTGGCTTCCTCGGCGTGCATTATACGCCGTAGCTGCACCAAGTTAGGTGATCTGCCTGGTGGCCAGTCCATGACGTGGCATAATGGCGTGAAGAAATTGACTGAAAGACTCCGTCAGGCTGGTGCGTGCCCTCGTCGTGGATGGGGGCCTCGGGATGGTCCACAGCAATGATTAGAGACCGTACCTGACCTGGCACAGTCATTGGCATTCCTGCATTCGGTTTCTTTCCTCTGGTTGTTACTTTTCGTTATATTCTGATTAGTTTAACGCACTTCCTTCTTGCTCCCATTTTCTTTTAATGCTATTAGCCTTTAACCCACTGTTTTCCGTTATCTATTTTTATTCTTGTGATGAGTCGCGGAAACTAGATCCACCGCGCTTCAATGCTCGAATTATAGTTTATCGACTGTGTACTTAACTATTAACGATCGTAATCTTTCGATAACTATATCAAGTGATTTAATACAGCACTATCAACATCTTTGGACCAAAGTTATTCGCATGTGTACGAGAAAGATAATGATGCAAAGGAATAGGATGCGAAAGGGAAGGTTTGAAACAGCAAGCCAGGGGCGTCAATGCCCTTCTACTCGATCAACTCCTTGCTCACATTCCTTCGGGACAGCACGCTCCTTCATCTCCAACTACTTGTCACGATAATTAGAAGCGATAGATGCCCGAATGTACGACCTATCAGCCCTGTTAATTGCTTGACTAGTACACTTATCAAGCTAACCGGTCTGTACATCACAGGTCGGGGCTTATCACCCTTCGTAAAGACAGAACAGATGACAAACTCGCAGTTTTTGAGTAAATCATCATCAATAGTATTAGCTCAGCCCGTCGCGACAAGACTGGACCTTAAGTTGATTCGATCCATTGAGCTATGCTGGGTGATGCTTTTTGCACCTTCAGTGCCAGTTCTACTAGATTGGTCAATGCTTAGAGGCCAGACAAACTCAGTCTCTTGGCCCTCCAGGTTTTGGTTTGGAGTAAGGGTGGCTCCTTGCTCTATAGAACGGACTCTGTAGCCCAGTGCTGAAACCCCGCTGCCTTGCGATCAGATTTTGAACCAAGGGCTTTGGTTGAGAGCTCTAATCATTCTCTTGTCTAGGCTTTGGAAACGTGACAGTATCTTGCTCAAACATTATCATGAATTTCTTTTCAAGAAATTTCTTGATGCTCTGGCCATCGCAGAGGATAATCAACCACGCCCTCTATGCTGCATCGAGTAAGGTGGATGGGGTTGAGTACGCTACTGCTCAAGCCTTCCTGCTTTCTTCTTGCGCTTTTTCATCCTTAACGTACCACTCTAACTTTACTCCCGTTGTCAACTGTCCAATTCCCGGCTCTTCCTCATCTTGCTTCAATGGTCGCTTGTCTTCTAGTTTCAACTCACACGTAATCGCAGAGCGTCTCTCTGGTCCAGTCGACAATTCGATGTTCAGCTCGACGAACGTCAGTTTATCCGTTTCTCTTTGGAGTCCCTGATCCTCGCTAAGACTGGCATGCCTCCACGTGTGCACCTTGTTACAGAATGATCAACAGGCAGCATGTACCCGAACATTGGAGACCCTATCAGTCGAAATCTGCTACTTATCGGAGATTCGCATGCAAGTTTCGAACTCTGTACTTACTCTACGACCCTCCACATTCGACAGTGACAGCACTTTCTCATCGCGTTTGTCTTGAGATGGCACAGCTTACTTGCCGGTCAAGCCGTTGTGAGCATTTTTCTGAGTCCCCGGGCTTCAGGTAGTCTCTTGGATCCTGGTCAACTGCCGGATGTGCGCCGTCAGAGTAGCTGATTCGTTCCAAGCTTTGAAGTAGCGTACTGACAGACGGTGCCTGTTTGTCATTGCAACCTACGCGCCCACAAACCGTAGCACTGACTCGGTGAAAGAATTATTATGTCATCAACTGAACGAGCTCCTTCGTCTCAGATAGAGTACTGATACTGTGGTGTTGGCTAGCGACCTGAGCGCCCAATTTGGAGTATAGTCCACTTATGGGTTGCTTTTGGGCGGCCAACACAGTCTAGGCCCCATAATGATAACGGTGAACGGTTGCTACGCATGTGTTAAGATTTTGTCTTTCTCGCTAGCCCTAACTTTCGACAGATCACCCATCGGAGGGTGACTTTGCGCCCACCAAACTCGGACTAGCCCTGGACGCAAATTGATTACATCTTGATCGGTTACCACTGTAGGCTGTGTCCAAAACTATCGCTTGCTTTGTAGCATGAGCGTGGACTCCGACCGCTCACTGGTATGTGCCTATCTGCAGGCACATTTTGGCGGACGGCTGCAACGGCGCTGTGAGCGCATAGATACTTTCTAACTGGCGAAGTCAGATGTTCTGAATGCGTATCAAAGCATGCTGACATCAGAGCTGTGTAAGCGCTCACCGACACTGATGAAGATCACTGGTCTCATATCTGCCAGATGTTATTAACAACAAGCATGCCCTCATGTGGCAAATGAAATCACCAACTCGGACATTGGGACTATACGCAGTTTCTGGAACTTATAGACGCTCACGGACACATTTCGGCTGCAAGCGAACACGAGACTCGCAAAGACCTCAGGGCAAAACTGCGTGCTAGTCTGAAGAGTGGCCGCGAAGCATGGTGGTCTCATCGTGCATTGGAAATGCAGATATCCGATGCCCTTGGTAACAGTCGGGATTTATTCCGTCTGATGCGCGAAACATGCATCAGGTGACCCGGTGTTAGCTGGACTATATACGACGAGGGTGCATAGCTGCTCCACAGTTTGTCAACACACTTGGAGCGTTGGGCCGAACACTTTAAAAAACAGCCAATTTAAAAGCAGCCATCTTATCAACCATTGTTCGCCCTACTCTCTGGGCCGTCCCTTTAAATCCGCCCTTACCCGCGGAAGTCGAACAGGAGATCAGACTATTAAAATTGAACAAGGCTGCAGGAGCAGATATACTTCTTCCAGATCTCAGATTCGGAGGACCTGGACTTATACTTGAGCTCCACAACTTTTTGGTGTAGCTGAAGGAGCAGAACACTGTCTCAGCAGACTGGAGTAGCTCCATTATCATCCTAATTTTGGAAACAGATTCACGTTCGGATTGCGATAATCACAGAGGGATCAGCTGATCCCAATTGCCTCTCAGCTGCTTGCTTATACCATTTTCCATCGACTGACTGACACTCGTGAAAGTCAGCTTCGCGAGTAGCAAGCCGGATTTTTCCGAAATCGGGACTTTATGTACCACACCTTCACGTTACGCTAATTGTTGGAACACAACTCTGGTCTTGATTGTATGGACCACATATTTACTCTTCGCTAACTTTTAGAGCAGACACATACAGATGAGTAACTATGGTAGTATTCCTTGACTTGAAAACCGCTTTCGACTCTTGAACACGCCAGTTTGTGACACTGCCTCTTCATGAAGGGCGTGGGCTAACTTCCTTATCCTCATGCAGTCTCTTCCGCGACTACCGAGGCCGTGTAAGGGTCTACGGGAAACGGTCTCCTGAGTTTCCCACGACAATTGAGGTTCGCCAGCATTGTCCTATATCTCCACTCCTTCTCAACTTTGTTGTCGAAATGATTGTGACTGACTCCGCTGCTTAAAAAGATTGTAGAGAAGGGTCTTCTTTACCTTCTCGAGTCGTAAAGCCTCTTGACGCCCGCACACCATGGTATCGTGAATGGTCACTCATGTATCATCAACCTGCTGTTAACGATGCACGAATGGTTACAAGCGCTAAACCAAGGAAATTCGGTCGACCTCATGTACATCGACTTTATTAAGGCTTTGACAAGGTGAGTCATGAGATGCTCCTCCACTGGCTTAGGGTGTGCGATGTTATCGGTTCGCTGCATCTATGGATCAGGGATTTCCTTGTTAGTCGAAGGTGGTGGGTTCAGGTCGACAACCATCTGACCGATTGCTATCCCTCCACCAGCAGCGTGCCTCAATGTACGGTATTGGGACCCATTTTGTTCTTGACCCATACTAACGATGTGCCACAGCTTCTTCGTTCGCCTTGTGCGTTGTTTGCAGATGACCAGAAGTTGTGGTGAGTAATCCACGCACCCAATGACTGGGACCAGCTTCAGCGGGACGTCGACCGCCTCTCCATGTGGTCTGCAGAGGTGAACCTCCCGGTCAAGTTGCATTTCATGAGCTTGGATAAGTATGAACACGGTCGAGCCTACATTGTGGCCGGTCAACCATTGCATCCCACGGCTTTCGTGAAAGACCACGGTGTACTCTCGCACTACGACCTATAGCCTGTGGATAACACGAATACGCTTCACCAAATCAGACTTGGTATGCTAT